AAAGAACCCACCTTCAAACGCACCACCCTTCCAAACAAAAATAATCAAGTTAGGGGAAATCCTGGTTAGCCACTTTGACTCCAAATTCACTCACTCAAAGCAGAGTCTTTGAAACCTGACACTGTTGATAGCTTGTTAGATGGAATAAAGAGGCCAGCACTGTGGCATACTGTGTAAATCCACTGCCTGAAATGTTGGCATCCCATATGGGTGCTGGTTTGAGTCCCGGCTCCTCCACTTCCAATCTAGCTCCCTGTTAATACCTGGGAAAGCAGAGGAAGATGGCCCAATTGTTTGGGCCCCTGCACCTAAGTGGGAGACCCAGATGCAGCATTTGGCTCCTGGCTTTGGACTGGCCCACCCTGACTACTGCAGCCCTTTGAAGAGTGAGCCAGCAAATGGAAGACCTCTCTCTCTCTCTTTCTCTCTCTCTCTCTCTCTCTCTCTCCCCCTCCCTCCCTCCCCTCCTCTCTCCCTCTCACTGTTTCAAATAAACGAATATTTTTATATCAAATAGAAGCAAAATTAGAATTCCAGAATGTTGTATGTGAAGAGTTACATCCTATGATACAGCATGTTTAGGGAATTTTGAAAATCAGACATAATTTCAAGTACCCTCAGACACAAATAGTTTTTTAGGTTATTCATTTGAAAGGCAGAGCAAGAGAAATCTCTCTGCCGTTTCACTACCCCAAATGCCTGCATCAGCTGGACCTAGGCCAGGCTGGAACAACAGTCCAGAACTGCAGCCAGGTCCCCAGATTGGAGTGGGGGAAGGAACCAAGAACTTGAACTACCTTCAAGACACTGAACTGGAAGCAGAGGCAGGGTGTGAGCCTAGGCATTTCAATATGGGATGCAGGATCCCAAAGGGTGGCTTAGCCTCTGCCAAATGTCTGCCCTGATACAAATGTTTTTAATTTTGAATTAAGTATAAAGCAGATTTAGCTTTCCAAGCACAAAGCTGGTTACTGCAACTGTGAAACAATGATACTGACAATTATTATCCTAAATACTACCTAGAAAAACATGGGATAAACTAATTATTCACAGAATAATAGAGGGACAACATTTTTTACAAACTAAGGTACTCTGGCATAGTCTCATTAACAATGAATTTTTTTCTTTGAAAATAGCTGCAGCACAAAATATTTATCAAATAATACCTAAGAGTGAACCAGGGGCTGGCACTGTGGCGCAACAGGTAAAGTTACTGCCTGTGATGCTGGCTCTTATTTGGACACTGATTCAAGACCCAGCTGCTCCACTTCTGATCCAGCTCCCCGCTAATGTGCCTGGGAAAGCAATGGAAGATGGCACAAGTGCTTGGGTCCCTGCCACCCACATGGGAGACCTGGAAAAAGCTCTGGGTTCCTGGAGTCAGCCTGACACAGCCCTGGTTGTTGCAGCCTTTTGAAGGAGTGAACTAGTAGATGGAAGATCTCGCTCCCTGTGTCTCTCCTCTCTCTGTAACTCTGCTTTTCAAATAAATAAATAAATCTTTTAAAAAATTGAACCTAACAGTATAATTCTACCCAACACATCCTTTTGTTCCCATACCATCTCCAGAATGCAAATGTTCCATTTTAATAATTTTTTTATTTGACAGATAGAGTTAGACAGTGAGAGAGAAAGAGAGACAGAAAGGTCTTCCTTCTGTTGGTTCACTCCCCAAATGGCCACTACGGCCAGCTGGAGTTACGCCAATCTGAAGCCAGGAGCCAGGTGTTTTCTCCTGGTCTCCCATGTGAGTGCAGGAGCTCAAGCACTTGGGCCATCCTCCACTGCCTTCCTGGACCGCAGCAGAGAGCTGGACTGGAAGAGGAGCAACCAGGACTAGAACCCGGTACCCATATGGGATGTCGGCGCTGCAGATGGAAGATTAACCAAGTGAGCCACGGCACCGGCCCCCATTTCAATATATTTTAATAAACCTTAGATTAAATAACATTTTAAAAATTCTACTGTCCCTAGGAAGTACAAAGCAAACTAGATATTTCCTATGTTGCAATCTTATTTTTAATTAAAGGTAGGAATATGGGGCCAGCGCTGTGGAGCAGCGGGTTAACGCCCTGGCCTGAAGCGCTGGCATCCCATGTGGACGCCAGTTCTAGTCCCGGCTGCTCCACTTCCGATCCAGCTCTCTGCTGTTGCCTGGGATAGAAGTAAAAGATGGCCCAAGTCCTTGGACCTCTGCACCCACGTGGGAGACCCGGAAGAAGTTCCTGGCTCCTGGCTTCGGATCGGTGCAGTTCCAGCTGTTGGGGCCATCTGGGAAGTAAACCAGCAGATGGAAGACCTCTCTCTCTCCGTCTCTACCTCTCTCTGTAACTCTATCTTTCATAAATAAAATAAATCTTTAAAAAAAATAAAATAAAGGTGGGAATAATGAACAGATGTTCACATCAAAGCTAATAAACAAATGAATGTTTATTTTTAAGTCATCGAAAGTCTTCAAAATTAAAAGGAGCTTATTACCATTCTCTGAAAAATTTCTAACAATATTTGGCATATTAATTGTAACCTTAATGGAACAGATGGCTACTAACAAAAGAGTAACCTAAATTGTTTATGATCCACACAGAGGACTATGGTAGCTATTATAAAATAAATATTTATAAAATTATCTCTATAACTTAATAACAATCATCCAAATATTGAAACAACAGAATTTATGTTTCAAACTACATAAGGAATGACCTGATTTCAGATCATATTCTCTATCCCTTAATTTGGTAATGAGACTGAATCTACTGTTATACAACTTAAGTTGGTTCATTCCAAAAAGCAAATTTTTGATTTGGTATGTAGACCTTTGTCATGCTACATAGAGCTTGGAACAGAAATCCTAGGGGTCATGTCATTAATGCATTTGGTTTCTTTTTTTCAATAAATACTTATTGGATGGCTTTTCCATAACTGGTACTATACCAGGTACCAGTGTGCAGTAATAAACAAAACGTACCCAACTTCAAAGAGGTAGACTAGCAAACAGGAGAATTGTGTGATTACTGCTACAAAAGGTATAAATACAGAGGGTTAGGGGCAAGTAGCCAAAACCGTGAAACTGCTTATGTATAGGCCTATTGATCAGAGAAAGCACTTTGCATTCTTAGAAGCTGGATAGAATGTTTCAAAAGACATGAAACAAGAAACCTACAAGATACAGTAAAGAATATGAACTTCACCCTCAAGGCAATGGTCTGAAAATTGTTGTGCAAAAATGTGACAAACTTAGATTTGCACTATAGTTTTTTTAAAAAGTCAACACAGTGATAGAGAAAAGACTGGAAAGGGTAAACCTGGAGTCAGGAAAAATATTTAAACTGTAACCATAGTTAAAGGAGAGGGACTATGTCAAGACTTATATCAAGAAAGTGGCAGTGGGGAAAGTGTGCTGAACTGAGACAAGATCAACAGCATTAAGTGCTGCCTGAACACAGAGCTTGAGGGAGGGAGAAGGAAGAGTACAGTGGACTTGGGTAGCTAAGAGACGGTGGTGCAGTCCACAAAGATGGGGAAGCAAGGAGGCATCACATTTTTGGGAAGATGATACCGTTGGATCAACCAACGGTAAAGGAAGACCTTACTCTCTGTCTCTCTTCTCACTGTCCACTCTGCCTGTCAAAATAAATAAATAAAAAAGGTTACAGATACCAAATGTTGGAAGCCGAGACACCGGTGAAAGATGAGGCAGCGTGGGAAGTCTTCTCACGGGACACGATATCCAGTGCCCATGTGAAGGGATCGGCCTCTGAAGGTAAAAGAGATGTTGCTTTCATCATGCCAGACACAGTCAGGATGACTCAATCCCAGGCACTCTGATATGGGACGTGGGTGTCCCAAGCACAGGTTTAACTTGCCACAACACAATACCTGTGCCTCACTAGGGCATTCTAATAAGAAAACTGCTGTGTCAGTATTCTGAAGTATATAATGAGCCTTTTGTCATATAGTGTCATAATGGATTATAAAGTAATATTATAAATGATATGAAATGATACTTATATTATTATAGTTCTAAAGTAATATTAAAGATGATACTTACTTAGCTGTAATAGAACCGTTTAAATTCTTGGAATTCAAAGAACAATATAATGGTGTCTGCAAAACCACTTCAAATTTTGGCAACACTGGAAAAGAAAAGCAAGGGTAAATCTTTAATAGATTCTATTTTACTAGCATCTTCACCTAAAGAAAATAAATAGCAGAATTGTTGTGAGGGAGTCAAAGATTGTTACTATGTGAATTTAGATCCATTAGGATTCAAATACATATTAACACAGGCCGGCGCCGCGGCTCACTAGGCTAATCCTCCGCCTAGCGGCGCCGGCACACCAGGTTCTAGTCCCGGTCGGGGCGCCGGATTCTGTCCCGGTTGCCCCTCTTCCAGGCCAGCCCTCTGCTGTGGCCAGGGAGTGCAGTGGAGGATGGCCCAAGTGCTTGGGCCCTGCACCCCATGGGAGACCAGGAAAAGCACCTGGCTCCTGGCTCCTGCCATCGGATCAGCGCGGTGCGCCGGCCGCAGCGCGCCGCCCGCGGCGGCCATTGGAGGGTGAACCAACGGCAAAGGAAGACCTTTCTCTCTGTCTCTCTCACTGTCCACTCTGCCTGTCAAAAAAAATTTTTAAAAATTAAAAAAATTAAAAAAAATACATATTAACACAGGCAAAAAGCCCTTTGTTTCCCCAAAATTAGAAATCTCCACTTTGGTCATCTTTATATGATTAAGTATGAAAGAGTATACAAATATTAATACTATGCGATAAGTCACTCCAACAGAACAAAAAGCTTTTGTGATTTTCTGGTTTACAGAGTTGTTGGGTCTAAGGTCACTGCAAGAGAAACATATCAAAGTCTCACAACAAGGCACATCACCTTTCCTTTCAATTAACACAAGAGATGTATCATGCAGGTCGATGGGTCAACAATATAGAGCACACCTCCAGCTCCATACAAAGTTAAAGGCCAAAGTTAATGTGCCAAGTCTCTCCCAGACTCTAGACCAATCTGAGAGGAGAACCAAAGAAGTCACATGGGGTAACTGTAACTGCCCTTCAAGGACCTGCATCAGCACAGAAGCTAGAGGAAACCCAGAGGTGGACAAGACATGCAAATACACCTTCCTCAAACCTCCACTCTTCCCCTGCTCAACTACATATAACACCCTACTCATGGTAACAACAACAACTCAGCAACAGTTCCAACACTACGTGATATGAAAACAGCTTCTAAAAATGTTCATCCTGGAGTGGTGTTGTGGCACAGCAGGTTAAGCCACAACCTGCAACGAGGACATCCCATATGGGAGCACTGATTTGAGTCTTGGATGCCCTACCTCTGATCCAGCAGCAGCAGATGACCCAAGTATTTGGGCCCCTGCCACCTATGTAGGAGACATGGATGGAGTTCCAGGCTCCTAGCTTCTGTCCAGCCCTGTCCTGGCCATTGTGGCCACTTGAGGAGTGAACCAACAGATTTAAGATCTCTTTCTCTCTGCCTCTCCCTCACTCTCTGTTGTTCTGTCTTTCAAATAAAGAAAATGAATCTTTTAAAAAAAAATGTTGGTCCTGTGTGATTTATTTTTCTGGATCAGGGCTATCCAAAAGAAATAAAATGTGAACCATATGTGCAGTTTTTCATTTCTAGTAGTCACATTTGAAAAGTAAAAAGCAGGGAGGGGCTGACATTGTGGCTCAATAGGTCAAAGCTATGGCCTGCTGCGCCAGCCTCCCTTATGAGTGCTAACTCAGGACCTGGCTGTTCCACTTCCAATCCAGCTCCCTGCTAATGTGCCTGGGAATGCATGGTAGAATGGCCCAAGTGCTTGGGCCCTTGCACCCACATGGGAGATCTGAAAGAAGCTCCTGGCTCCTGGCTTTGGCCTTGCCCAGCCCTGGCTGTTGCAGCCATTTAGGGAGTGAACCAGCAAATGGAAGATCTCTGCCTCTCCCTCTCACTGTAAATCTGCCTTTCAAATAAATAAATAAAATCTTTTTTTATTTATTTATTTTTTTGACAGCCAGAGTGGACAGTGAGAGAGAGAGACAGAGAGAAAGGTCTTCCTTTTCCGCTGGTTCACCCCTCAATGGCTGCTGCGGCCGGTGCACTGCAGCCGGCACACCGCACTGATCTGAAGCCAGGAGCCAGGTGCTTCCTCCTGGTCTCCCATGCGGGTGCAGGGCCCAAGCCTTTGGGCCATCCTCCATTGCACTCCCTGGCCACAGCAGAGAGCTGGACAGGAAGAGGAGCGACCGGGACAGAATCCGGCACCCCGACCGGGACTAGAACCCCGGGGTGCCGGCGCCACATGCAGAGGATTAGCCTAGTGAGTGGCGGCACCAGCCAATAAATAAAATCTTTTAAAAATAAATAAAGAAAAGAAAAAAGGCAAATGAAATTTATTTTTGAAATTTTTATTTACTCCTGTATATCCAAAATAATACAATTTTAATATGTAATCAAAATAAACAACATTACTAATGAACCAGGCTTTTTTGCACTAAGTCTTCAAACCTTGGTGTGTATTTTACGCTTACAGCATATCTCCATATGGTAATCACACTTCAAGTGCGTGGCCCTGTACTAGATGGCACAGTTCCAGACCATGGGTCAGCAAACTATGACCAGTATGGGCTAACAATGGTCTTTACAATTTGTAATTGATTGAAACACATTAAAAAATAATATCACACATGAAAATTGTGTGGCATTCAAATATCCACACTAATTAAATGAAGTTTATTTCCTCACAGCTACATTCACTTACATACAGACTATGGCTGCTCCGTGCTACTAAGGCCAACTGGAGTAGTTATGACGGAGACACATGGGCAGCCCACAGAGCCTACAACATGCACACTCCTATCTGGCTCATTGTAGGAAAACACTTTGCTGATTCCCATTCTACATGCTCCTGAGACTTGATCTGAAAACACCATATGAGATACACAAGCTTGAGCCCCAGAGTTAAAAGCGAACTACTTTCTAAAATTTCTATCACTTGAATCAGACACAATCTCCAAAAGTGTCACAAATCAAATGACAAAGCTCATGTGTGTAACCCCAAAAGAGCTATTCAGATGATAAACTGAGACCCTATGCTCTCACTCTCATCTCTACTTCCTCTCCATCTGCCAGCAAATTAGTTGAGTCCATGTGTATCTGCAATATTATAAGGGTCACATGGGCAAAAAAAGAATTTACCTGAGTTAAACCAATGTCAAACAAAAAATACAGAAAAATCACTGATGCAAAGATTTAAAAAAAAATACAAAATTTTAAGGAAAGTAGAAAAACATAGAAACTGTGCATAGGGCAAAGACCAGCACAGTGGGGCTACAAAAGATAATTTGTCCATTTTTTCTTTATAATAATATTTTAGAAGTTTTTCATATGAAAAATATGTTTAGACCTACAAGGAACACCAGAATTTTACTTTCATTGGGATTTTTACTTTAAACAATATCACATCCCTTGAAAATTTCTCTTATCTCTATAGGAAGTAATAAAAATCTCTTTCCTTTGAAATAAAATAAGAGACTCTTACCATATTCTGAAACATGAAATGATTGATAATATGTCTGGTCCTATTGGAGGAAAGAAAAAAAAAGAGAAGAGAATATATGAGTTCTTAATTATTTTGTTGCTTATTTACCTGAACAAAAGGGTCTAGAAAATTATTTTTTCCTTACATTTGTAATTATTTAATGAACAAGAGTTTATTTTAATTTGTGTAAGTGTATTTTTAGTCAACTGCAACACTAAGCCTGTGAAATTTCACTCAGTATTCCTTCCCAACTCACTAACATAAAAAGGTGAGCCAGAGCACATGGTCTGGTGGTTGAATTGCATTTAGGACACCCACATCCCATAGCAGAGTACTGGGTTTAAGTCCTGAGTCCAGCTTCCAATTCCAGCTTCATGCTAATGTGCATCCTGGAAAGCAGTGGGTGATGGCTCAAGTATTTGGGTCCCTCTCACTCATGTGGGAGGCCTGGATTAAGTGCCTAAGTACTAGTCCTGGGCACTGCAGGCATTTGAGGAATGATGGAAAATCTCTCTCTCTCTCTCTCTCATTTCTGTCTCTATCTGGTTACCTACATCTCTGCCTCTCAAATAAAATAAAATAGTAAAAACAGACTTTAAAAAAATAATAAAGGTGAACACTGTAACTCATTGAAGATCATTTTTTAAAACTACTTAATTTTATTTTTATCATTTGTAAAATGAGAATTATATTAAATTACACAATGCAGAAATTTATGAAGCAAGTACAAGACATATCAAACTAGCAGGAAATGACGTCATTTTCTAGCAGTAACCAAGATAGCAAAGTTTAATGGAAACAGCACACCCGACAGACCAGGCGGGTGTCTCCGGAAAGACTGAGAACCCAGTCTGTACTGAGACCAGGGTTTTTAAGGATATGGATTTGCCCGCACTGTGTTTCTCCTCTTTTCTGGGATACTACTGCCAGGTGGAGGGCTTCCTGAGTGTGGAATGCCAGAAATTCCTCCCTAAACATCATCAGCACAGTATTATAGGACCTAATATCTTCATTGATATAGGGCAAATTTGTTTTAGAAATCATATCAGAAAACCAGTGGAGAAAATGAAGTTAACAAAATTCAAATGTTTATAAATGATCAACTATGCAAAAACATCAGGGTTCAACATCCTCCACCTAATTCTTTCAGTCATTCTCCAGGGAAACCCTTAAATCACTACACCCTATGGTATTTTACCAGATACCATTATTTCCTTTTGCAAGATGAACAAGAAAACATGTGGCCTATTATTATATCGTTTTTCTACCTCCTCCTGTTTCTGTCCATTCTAAAGTATAAATAACACACTTAATAGAAATTTTTTCAAAATAGTAAAGTAATTCCATTAATGAAATTTATATTCTGATTCCTTAAATTTATCAAAGCGAACATACAGACAAGGTTAGAAAATATTATTCTGTCTTAAAAAATTATCCTCATTTTAATGTAAAGCTTCTGTGCACAAAGCTATTTTTTTATTTTAAAAGAAAAATATGGCTCACTTCAAAATACAAATGTAACCATTTATATCCTAAGAAAATCATTATCTAAAATGTAACTTCAATATGGTCACTTAGTGGATATCCCAAAGAAATTATGTTGTTCAGATCAAAGCCATAATCTCCACATTTGTGATGTCTATCTTAAATTGTTTTCATGTCATATACAGAAATGTTATAAATTACATGCATGATTCACATGGAAGTTCTAATTTGTAACACTTAAAAATCAAGTCAAGAACATCATCTGAGGCCAGTGTTGCGGCATAGCAGGTTAAGCCACCACCAGCCACACCAGCATCCCATATGGGTGCCAGTTTGAGGCCTGGCTGCTCCCATTCCAATCCAGTTCCCTGATAATGCACCTGGGAAAGCAGCAGAAGATGGCCCAAGTGCTTGGGTCCATGCCACTCACATGGGAGATCCAGAAGAAGTTCCAGGCTACTGGCTTTGGCCTGGCACAGCCCTAGCCATTGTGGCCATTTGGGGAGTTAACTAGCACATGGAAGATTTCTCTCTCTCTCTCTCTCTCTCCCTTTCAAAATAAATACATCCTTACAAAAAAAAAAAAAAAAAAAAGAACATTATCTTTAGTACCTGTTTTACTGATACACATAAGCGTTCTGGGAGCTTTTTAAGATTTATTTTATTTATTTGAAAGGTAGAGTTATAGAAAGACAGAGGCAGTGACAGGGGTGGGGAGGGTGGGCAGGAGGGTATCTTCCATCTGCTGGTTCACTCTCCAAATGGCTGCAATGACTGGGGCTGGGCCAGACTGAAGCCAGGAGCCAGGAGTTTCATCTGGGTCTCTCATGTGGGTACAGGGGCCCAAGCTCTTCCACTGCTTTCCCAGGTACATTAGCAAGGAGCTGGATTGAAAGAGGAGGAGCCAGGACTCGAATGAGCACCCATTAATCTCTCTATGCCACAACTCCAGCCCCAGAATTCCAGTTTTTAAACTAGTTTTGCTTTACTACTGAAGCCAGCACAGGTAAAGATAATTACTTATTGAACATGTCTCTCTCTAGCGAAATTCATATAGCAAACTTTGATTAGGTTCTACATACAAAACACCATATGAGGCTCTATAAAGATAAATTATGGTCCTCAGTGTCAGAGGGTCAAGCAATGGAGACAGACATGGTCAAAAGCAAAAGTACAGTCACGTGGCATAAAACAATATTTGACCAACAAAAGACCATATATAGCATGGTTGCTGTAACATATAGCCTTGGCGTGTACCAGGTTAAACAATGTAAGTTTGTATAAGTACATTCTATGAAATGTTCACATTATGACAATACTGCCTAGTGATGCATTTCTCAAAATGTCTATCATTAAAGCAGCCCATAACTGTATAAGACTGTCAGTGTCCTGAGGCTGCATGCAATATGATTTCTATGTTAATTTTTCTTACACTTACTCCTACCTCTACCCATCTTCCCAGGCCTACCTCAAATACTGCTGCTTCCTAGAATCCCAACGCAATCATTTTATTTAACACAATATATAATCATTATCTATTTTGTGTCTATCTT